ATTCTTCCATATTGGTATTATTTTTATTGTTATTTTTAGATCCGTTTGCTTATAATTTATCTTGATTATTATGATTAAACTGGCCTTATCAGTTTTGCCAAAAATCTTAAGAAATGCTAACTATTAATTTTTACGCGTATGGTACGTTTTTTTGCTTTGTGCCTTTTGCTGAATGCCAAGCAAAAAAATGGCTATCTATTTGTACATAATTCATTAGCTAGTGCGTTTTCTTTAAAAATTAATCACATTTTAAATGTTATTCTTGATTCTTTTTTCACTGGTAGATGAAAAATTTTATTTTTATAGATTAAAATTATACTAAAAAATAGCCTAATGAGTGACAATCCTCTTTAACTTAGAATATTTCTAATATCGATTTGTATCGATTTATTCTTATACGAAATATCACTTCTGACGAATCGTCGATTTGAATTAATCTCAGCGTTATAAAAAATGATTTTCATTTTGATAACTTGTTTATATTTTATTTTCCTATGGAGCTACTCAAATTAATTTTAATAACAAGCTTTATCTTCGAATAATCATGCTTATATTTACAAGGCTTCTCCAGTCATGAATAACTGCCACATTTTTTGGAATTTCACAGTTTTATATGTATATACCTTTTCCTAAAACATAGTTTATAGTGATTTCCTTAATCATTTTTCTTAAAATTCATTTGCTCTTACTCTGCTTAATTTTACTTTAGGGGTGGCAAGTCATATTCTGTTATCACAAACAACTTCTTTTAGTATTTGCTTCAAAATAAGACCATTAAAATCTGATGGTTTGATTAAACTCCATATTTCAACATGCAGATGCTTTAAATAATTAGATAAACACTTTTTTTCACAATATATTCCTTTGGAAAAATGTTCAAGACATTAATATAGTTATAACCAAGGGCTTCTCAGGCCTTGTCGCATCTATTCATCGTATCGACTTTATTACACGCTGGTTTCGCGTTTGAACACTATCTAATACATTTTCTTTCATTGAATGTGATAATTGATTATATTTTTCCTTAAAACCTAGGGATTATACTATGTGTATATAGAGTGTAAAAAGAAATTTATTTAGAATGTATGCTTATCATGTTGTAAATATATTAGATCGGCTTACACTATGATCAGACTGTTTAATTTTAAACTTATTTTAAACCACTCTTCTCATGCTTAGTTGCCTCATTCATTTGCCGAAACAAGCTTAATCGAATAGCCTTATTGAATTGTATTATCAGCTTCTTCTATTTTCTCTGACTTATAATGAAATCTTTACAATTTCTTATCCATCTGCTCATTGAATAAATAAACTAGTTAATTCCTTTGTTATAATCTTACTTTTATATGCATAGGACATGAGCTGAGACCGATTTTTAGGGTAAAAGACTAATGGTATACCTAACTATATAATATAAATGCTTGTAAGTTCAATATCTATTTAAGTGATGAAAATTACGTAGGAGATATCATAAACTGGGAAATCGATACGATATGCTGTATAGTATAGCCATTCAGAAAAGACGCCATGCTCGCATATTTCACAGAAGCATCTTAGTTCGGCTCTAATCAGCTTCCCAAGCTTAACTGTTACTACCTATGCTTCACCTGAACCCGCTCTTGCACAATTGTCTTATACAGATTTTCCACTGATCAAATCTTCTGTCTCCTAGCTTGTCATTCATTCTAGTTTCCATGCAAGTCGTCAAAAAGCAAACTAAAATAGCCCATTATTGTTAAGTCTCTCTTCCAAATAAGGTACGAGTATGCTATTCTAAAGTGAGTATAAGAGACTACACACTGTAATCCTATTTCTTCGAAATGGATTTATTTCATCGTTGTACAAAGAGAATAGGTGATTTTAGCCTACATGTGTAGGAAATGTTGACTTGTACTTCTCTGAGATCTGTGATAAACTGAGCAACAATAATGTTCATTATTATTTCTATTCGCACAACCAACTCATAAAATTAGTATTTTATATTTTAAATGTGTATGTTTTTTTCGTAAAGCACTTTGATACATTATTTAATTACTGAAAAAAATTTATTTTATATATTTCAGGATGGAAAGGGTTTCAATTGAAAAGATTAGAGAAAGGGAAGCCAAATGGCTGGAGATGCTAGCTGATTGGGATCTATGGATGGGCAAAAGGTACACACGAATTCGGGATAGATGCAGAAAGGGTATTCCTCCAGCGATTAGAATTAGAGCATGGCAATATTTATGTGGAAGCAATCAAATTATAGTGAGCAACAGAGGCAAATACACAGTAAGTCCTAATTATATTGACTGCCTGAGGTAATATAATGCGAGACATATATATACTAATTGAACCTCTTACATAGTAAATTTTATTATTAAATAACATTAATACAGTCATTTATCAAGCTTTAAATTGCTTCTTGAGATTAAAAAAAAGTATATGTATGCTTGTGCACTTAAGTTTTCATGCCAAAGGTAATGCGAACGAGTTTATTTACTTGCAATATGAAATGACCTTACGTTAATTGGCAAATTTTCTTTAAATAGTATTACTATGCAATATATATCTGACAACTAATTAATTACAATGTTTTGAAATAAGTCTGTATAGTGCTAGGATTTGCTTAGCCTTTTGGTTTTCGGCCTAGTTTTACGATGGTGCCTAGAAAAATTAACCTTTGTTGATGTTTATGCATAGACGGAAGCGTTAGCCAGTTTATAGCTCTGCGAGTTTTGAAATAATCTATTCAGCTGATAGGAAATATGGTTGAAAGAGTTGGAACATATGATTGCTACGTGGAAGCCTTTCGTTAAACTTGCCATGAACCTCAAGCAAAAGATGATGGAACTACACAAATTGTAAATGGGGGTAGGATAAAAAAGCACATATGGCCTGATATTCACAATCGTCAAGGCCATGCCAGCCATAATTGCCCAGAAAGCCTCAATTGCTGGCTTCATCCCCAGTTGGGCTGGCGACTAGTTCGAAAAGAGGCTTAGACTGTAGCAGTCTTTTTTGCCTGACCAAGACTCTCTTATTGTTCCCAATGAACATAAATTAGAAGTTAGTGATGGCTATTGGAAAAGCACCAGCCGCTGCATTAGCTCTATCTCTTTCAACTTACTCAAATGTGAATAGTTTCGTAGAATTTAGGGTTCCGTCTAGTGGGTCGTGCTCCGAAAAATCCATGTCTAAGATTAACACTAAAATAATTCACGAGGACGACATGAGAATGAACCCAGGCCAGACGGAGACTTTTTAGAAATTTATTGGCAGATTATTTAAAACTTCTCACTTCATTGGTTCTCAATATTGTTAAGCAAAAAATGTGCACCTTGTGTCTCCGTAAATCAAGCGTGGATACTTTTTTAACCAATATAATTAAAAATTTTTAATAAGTTTTTTTTATTGCATGTATAGACCTATCGACTTCGGTTTCAAGCTCTCCAGTTTGGCCCATGAGTGTACTTCGGAATAATCGCTTTAGGTCCATAAAAATGCGACTAACTTCAAGCGCACTAAAATTGCAGGCGCTTCTTTGTGCAGATTTGAGTAAAAACGGTGCAATACGGCTATGAGAACAATAAGCAATCGTAGAGATGGGCTGAAACCTACTTGTAAATGAGAATAAGCAATCGTTCTTGATGATTTGTCTCGACATGCTTCCACCAACAATCAATTTTTCATGGGCAGATGAGTAATCTCATTATGCTACTTACGAGCCACACGTGAAGACTATGATGATGGTGGTGACATTTTATATGTTTTCATACGCAGAAGCAAAAATCTCTTTGGGTTCGGTAAATGTAGGCTCTAGAAGAAAGTTGATAAACTAAGTCATTCAATATCCGTGCCAGGCATTGGTTGCCATGGCTCCTTACGTCCTAGTCTTTCAGTTGTGGTAGACTTGGTAACTCGAATCTGAGCTTAATAAGAACTGCAAAGAGCAGAACAGAAAACGTGAAGTACTCTCGGGCTCCACAGACGGAGCCCATGTTCGACCGACACTCGAGCGAACTGCAGGAAGCAGAGTGAGACGCCACCTACTTAATCCATCCTTTGGGTCGCATAATCCTGTTTCATGCCTGAAATGGGCATGTACCAAACAAAACTGCTCGAATTAAGTAGGATTTCGGGGTTGCCGATTGTCATGTCAAATGTATGATTACCCTAGCAACAACACTATCACACACATGTGATCTATCTGAGGCCAAAAGGAGACTGTGACCAACATAGAGGCCACAACAGGTTGGTCTTCGTGTCTCTAGGGTTAAGGGAAATTAACCCTTAACTCACATACAAAAGATGGTCTTCCTTTACAGCCAATGAGTCCCCTTCACAGAGTTGTCAAGTTGGAGGCATATGCGTCTGCAGATACAGGCAGGTTGCGCCTATTGCGAATAATTCGTGCCTTGAAAGTATTGTATTAATCAGAATCGTACCATTCGAAGCGTGATTAGTCCCATCCCATTGAAAGGTATTAATACAAATACTTTCTTAATGTAATATAATAGTTAAGGTTGATAAAAAAATTATCAAAATCTTTAGGCTTATTATAAGCAAAACAGTACAGTTTGGTTGGGAAGTTGTCTGCGCAAGAGCTCTTTTTAAGTAGTATCTTCCTTGATCTATGCGCTACAATACAGATGCAGTGTTTGCCGATAAAGACATTACATTCCCACGCAAATATATCATTCTATTTCTATATGTGACTTTCTGGTCGCATGCAGTTGATCCCGCCCAACATTTTTTCTCTGTATTTTATCCGCATGTCTCATGCATTCCAACATTTTTGTCAATTTTCAACTTGTTCTCACCACGTCATTTCATCAAATTTCATTTACTAATGACATGCAATATAATTTGTAATATACCTTACTGCATATATACAACTGTGCCAAAGCGTGTGCATAGAGGACGACGGTCGAAAATGCTAATTGTTGCTTCTGCTCCGCTGCCCGGTAACCGTAATGTATGAATCTTGGCTCGTATTACATGCAGCCGGACATCAATTTAGAGCTGGTGGTAAATTGAATTTCGCACAATTCCAACTCGTATTAATCACTAATATTTCATCATATTTCCAATTTTGAGCTTATACCAGACAAACAGCAATTCACCCATTTTCAACGCATCAGACTGCAAGTCTACCAAATTGGTCTTATAAATGTCATTGCTGCCTAATGTCTCTTCTGCTTTGACCATTCTCACCGGTTCCACTAGGACTTCCTTCGACAGCCGGGCCACCCTGAAACGATCAGCCAAATCAAACGAGACATCGGTCGGCAATTTCCTTACCACGAAGACTTTCGTCAGCCCAACGGACACGGGTATGATGATAACAGCACTATGTCCTCTCTTTCCACGTACACCAAATCTACATCTCCGGGCAGGCAAGCACTAGTAACCATGACGACCACTGCAACCATTCAAGTCATCGCACCCACAGGGACGATAAAATGGATTCTTGTGGCTGTATGAGTGATCAGCTTGCGGCAGTCTTTAGCAGAACTGTTCGGCTTGTCCTGCTGTTGAAACCTGCTTCGTGTGTATTAGTGGAAAGTGGGTTTCACAGAATCCCTTAACTAAGTTAGCCCGTTTGAAGATGAGTGTGGAAAAGTTGCCTGTATGTGCTGTACCGGAAACTGAGGTTGTGAGACAGACTTTTTGCGATCAAGTTTTCATGCCAACATTCGACAAGTCTGATCCGTTTGTGCTCAGATTTCGGTTAGCACATCGTAGCAGACATCATCATGGCATGAAAGCATTATTTACGAGAGTTGTACAAGAATTGACATAAAATATGTAAATTAGTTGTGATTTTGAACAAAACAGCTTTTTTTAGTGCCTAATTTTTTTAAATCTTGACATGTTTGCTTGCGTTGATTGTGTCGTATGCATACAGGTTTGTAGGAAAACCATGAACTGGCCAATAAAATCATGGCATGCCTGATTAAGTGGGAAAAGTTAGGCTCCAATAAGTGGATAAAACTCGAGCTGG